TCAAAACTTAGTAAAACATCCTATATAATTAAATCACTAAGAGGAGTTTTGAGTCCAAATATGTTAAGAAGCATTTATTTTGGAAAGTTTCAATCGTTATTGAGATATGGAATAATAATTATTGGGGGGGCGTGAAGGTGATAGTATGAAGGTATTTAAAGTGCAGAAGAGGGTGTTGCAAATAATTAGTGGACTTGGTAAACAAGAGTCATGCAGGCAAATTTTTAAAGATTATGGCATCCTCACGGTCACATCTTTGTATATCTTATAGGTGTTATGTTGCACAAAAAAGTACAAAGCAGATTTGAACCAAAATATACATATTCATAGTTATAATACAAGAATAAACAAGGATTTTCATGTTCAGTTCTGCAGAACTACATTATTTAAAAAAAAGTGTGGTAAATATGGGGATAGAATTGTATAGTAAGGTGCCAAACAAAATAAAAAACTCGGTGGGTTTTTCAGCTTTTAAAAAGGACTTAAAATCATATTTATTGAAACATTCTTTTTATACGCTAAATAAATTTGTTAGTTTCAATAAAAAAGTGGACGGTGCAAGTACTTATGTTTGGATGTCATAGCCATTCAGGAGCTGTATATTGTAGTTTGCATATTTTTTGGAATGCTGTATTTATATATTGCTTATGATTGTAACAAATGTTGGTAGTATGCTTGTAACTTTGTAGATTTATTTTGTTAACTTGTATTACCGAATGACGTGTCCAAATGTTACTATGTAGCAAAACGGATGAAATAAAATACAGTACAGTACAATACAATTGTGTAAATTAGCATGAGTGTCATAAGTCATGGTAGTTACGACCTCTAAATGGTTAATAAAACCAATTACCAACCCAAACAGCATCTTCAGTAGACAAACATGTTACACTATTAACACAGCCTTTAAAAGGACAAGCCACTTTTTAGACAATAAGCATTCATCAACAGAGTAGAATGAGTGTGTAAGTATCGTTTTAGTGCTATTTTAATTCATGCTATTTTACTCATAAAACTTTTGATATCAGATGGCAGATTACTGAAAATGTTCATCCCAACATAATATGCACTTTTCTAAAAAATGAGAAGTTAGTAAATGGTTTACAAAGATAATGATTATGTCTTGTGTTAACGCTGTGTATATCTGCATTGGTATCAAAATTTGTTCTTTGCTATTTGTAAAGAAGTTTATTAACAAAAATACATATTCACATGTAAGTATTAAGATGATGAAGATCAAATCAAGGAGGATGTGGTGGGCAGGGCATGTAGCACAAATGGGGGAGACGAGGAATTCATATAGCATATTGGTGGGAAATCCAGAAAGAAAGAGGCCACTGGGAAGCCCAAGGTGTAGGTGGGTGAACAATATTAAAATGGATCTTAAAGAGATAGAATGGGATGGTATGGATTGGATTGATCTGGCTCAGAACAGGGACCAGTGGAGGGCTCTTGTGAACACGGTAATGAACCTTCAGGTTCCATAAAATGGTGGGAATTTCTTGAGTAGATGCAGAATTGGCGGCTCCTCAAGAAAGGCTCAGCTCCATGAGTAAGAGAAAGTATTAAGGTCTCCAGTCTCTTAAATAGATCTCTATAAGACTTATGAGATTTGACACCCACCATGAGTCTAACAATTTTCTTTTGCAATGTTGTTCTTTGTTGTCAGATGAATTACTCCAGAAAATTATTCCATACTTCATTAAGGAGTGAAAATAAGCTAAATAAATTAATTTGAGAGTGTCAGTGTCGGTGATATACAGCATAGATCTAACTGCATAACACGCAACAATTAGCTTTGGAACCAACTGATGAATATGGTTTTCCCAGTTTAAATGATTATCAATTTATAAGCCGAGGAACTTTGTGTTTACTGCCTCATCTATATATTTATCATTATATATAATGTCTACTGGATATTGTTGTATTTTTTTGTTACAAATTTTATTACATTTGTTTTATCTACATTCAGGGACAAATTGTTTGCAGAAAACCATTTACTCATTTCAGAGAGAACTTTGTTGGATAATATGCAGATATGGTCTCAATTTTTACTAGAAAATATGACACTAGTGTCAGCAAATATTATGGGTACAGATGATGTGTTTAGTATAGGAGGGAGGTCATTTATATAGATCAGGAAAAGCAAAGGCCCTAAAATCCAACAAGCAAGCTGTACTTTCCATATTGGTGCACAAGGCTAAAGCTATGTGATCAAGACAGCCTACATGCAGAGTTGGTGTTTCTGAGGGACGTTTTCAGGCAGAAGAATTCAACGACCGGCAGATCCACAGAGTCCTCAACAATCATCCGAACACAAGTCAGCCCGACAATAATCATTAGTCAGTCACCTTCCTACCCTATGTCGGGACTATATTCAACCGAATCAGCAGAGCACTGTCCTGGCACACCATCAAATCAGTGGGCCTGTCTCCAAAGAAATTATCTAGTTTCCTCTGGCCGGTCAAAGATAACCTGGGACTAAGGACACCATGCACATACAGAATCCCCTGTGAGTGTGGTAAGGTCTACAATGGGCAGACAGGCCATTCTGTGGACACCAGGTTGAAGGAGCATCAGCAGCACATCCATCTAGAACATCCAGGCAAGTCAACCATGGCTGAACACAGCGCTGACCTGAGACACTGCATTCAACTTCACAATCCTCACCACAAAAGCCTGATACATGGATGGCACTGTTAGGAAGGCCATTGAGATTGAACTCCTTCCCAACAGTATGAACAGAGTGGTTAGTTTTTGTCTCAGCAAGTCATGGAAGCCTCTCAACTGCTCCCTCAAGAAACCTCCTGAACATGATGCAAGATCTTGCACCCTATGCAGGTCAGTACACACTCAGCAGCTCTAGCCCTGAGGCTACTGGGTCAATGCTAGCTCCGTAGCCCTGGCTTTTTCCCCACCCCCGACAACTTTCCTCTACCTGCCTGGCCCACTCTCTACTACCCATTCACCTGGATATCCTACTGATCTCTGCTGACCCTACGCCTCTCCTCTATTGATTTTCCATGTGGCCCACTCTCCCTCACTCTGCTCTTATATAGCTGGGTGTTTTCCACTGGTGGCTCAGTCTGCTAGTCACCTGCTCAAGCTGTTTCCTCACTTGCAGATTTTTGTACCCTGTAGGTGGAAGTGACACGTTCCTCCAAAACGTTGGTTAACACAAGCTCTATACGGCACCACATCCCAGAAGAATGCATTCATCATAGTCACTGCTGTGGAAGCCTCAAATCCTACATCATGCTCAAATGTCTGAACCTCTCCATATTTCAAAAGGCTCTATTACCTACCTATCTTTATATTATGGTTTTGTCTTCTGGTGGTGGGCCATAAGTATAATAAGCTAAACTCTTCCCATTCATTCTCTGAAAAAATCACTGCATTGCACAGTGATTCAGAACATAAATTGACATTTAAAAGAACAAATACATAAAAATGTTAGACAATATGGTTGGACGCAGAAACAAAAAACCCTTCAAAAATTTCATGCCCATGATATACTAATACAACTGTTGACTTTTTTGACATTATCTATTGTCAATTATCTACTGAACACAGGTGATCTCAACTTGCTACCTGAGCACATGTACTGCAAAAAAGAAAAAAGTTTATACATAGCAAGCAAGTTCCACTACATGGCTCATCACATCCAGAACTACATGCTACTGAAATCAGAGTGCATAACGGTACATCATGCCCATTATGTTACCACTGGACCATGATCTAATATTTTGTCATACCTATCATAAGGGTTAAAACCAGTATTCCACAAAATTTATTTAAAACAATGTTTTGGTGACTGGACTTCGCCTCCATCCTAAGGTTGAGCAATGTTTACCTTCGTATGGTTTCAGAAAGTTAACCGGCCTGGTATCCTCCCTGAAGTATCTGTGCCATTATTTCTGCAGTTTACATAATCCCATCATTCTCATGTACTATGTGATTTCCCATCCTCCAGTTGTTTAGAAAGAAATCTCCCCATCAAAGCAAGAGCTGGAAGTTAGTCTTTCATTTCCCAGTGACCAGTGAAGTAGGTAGTGAAATTCTGTTTAGGTTGCACATTCTAAATTCTGTTTGGATTCTCATTCTGGCCACTGAGGGCAAGGGACTGCCTTGTTGCAATGGGTGTGTCAGGATCATTGCAACGAGGGTTTTGCTGGGGTTTTACTTTATTATATGGTTGGGTTTGTATTGCACCATTTTGTTTGACTGAGTTTGATAATATGAGGATTTTTACTGTAGTTTGTTTTATATGTGTTTAGGCTTTCACTGCTCCATTTGTGATTCTGTTTTATGTGATAATGGGGCAATATTCTGAGTGGTCAGTGGTCAGGGTTACAGGTTGACTAGTGTTGCAAAGACAGAAATATGGTCAGAGTTTTGTAATGTTCTTATTGTTTGCAAATGTTGCAGAGTAATAGTCAGATTAATATTATATTATTATTGTTATGGTTATTATTGTGCTTTATGAATTTTTGTTGGTGCAATTTGTTACTGAATATTTATCTGTTAATGAGGTACTGACCTTTATTGGGTAATGCTTAAAGTCTGGACAACCCAGTCCAACAGGGGATCATTGAAAACACAAGAGACCCAGAAAAAAAGGCAGTGATCATCCCCCCAAATTGTAGAATAAGAGGGAGTCTGCTGCTAAGGCAAGAAGCCTATTTGGTTGATCCCAATCAATACAGTTATTCCCTATCACTGGGGATTAGAATGGAGGCAAAGTCTAGTCTCCAAAATGTTTGTGGGATGTCAATGTTTGCTGGGACAACCACTTGAATCTATTACAACAAATTTTCACTGCACGTAGAGTGGAAGCTTGCCTGAAGAGGCCTGGCAGTAGCGGTGAATTGCAGGACCTGAAAAGGGGCGTTGTTCAACCATGTCTTCCTTGTAGCAGACCAGTGTTCATGATGAAGATTGCAGGCCCTGATAATGGGCGTTATTCAACCACGTCTTCCTTGTAGCAGCCCGGCGGTGACAGTGAAGATTGCAGGGGCGTTGTTCAACCACGTCTTCCTTGTAGCAGCCCGGCGGTGACAGTGAAGATTGCAGGGGCGTTGTTCAATCATGTCTTCCTTGTAGCAGTGAGTCTGACTGGCTAGGCACTATGGTGCGCACGCTGGTAGAGTCGCTGTTTACTGGAGAGCTGGAGCTGTGTTATTGCTTGCACTTTCAGGGAAGCGTGTAGACTAATGAAGACTGATGAAAGACTGTTGATTAACCAGTTGGAGGCCCGCATTTTTATACCATTACCACTGGGCAGAGCTGGCGATTATGAGCGCTGATTGGCTAGTGCTTGTGTTTGTCTCCAGAGGGCTGGACTGCCAGCGCTGTGTAAATATTGCCTCATCCTGTTACGAGGTGAGAGCTGTCTGTTGTCTGTTAGGCTGCTGAAGTTGTGTGTTATAATGTGGGAGGTTCCTACACGTTGTTTTAAATACAAGCAGTATGATAGATAATGTCCGAAGGCTCAATAATTTTACTGAAAAAACCCTAGAAAATGTCTAGAAATGTAACATTTACTAAATCATTGAACATTGCACAGCATGAGTATAAAGCACGTAACTAACCTGTGCAAATTGAGTGTCTGGAGACAGGTCTCTTTAGTGTTGTGTCCTGTGAGGTATAGCTGTTGGGCATTAGGCTTCAAGTGACCACAAGAGAGGGAGATATTGACAGCAGTCTCCACCTTATCTCCAGTCAGGATCCACACCTAAAACATTGTGGTGCTGATGAATGTAACATTTGGCCTAGCAATTGGAGTTTTATGATTTTAAGAAATTAAATATAAGAAAATAATATATACATTAAAGATAATAATATGATCCTGCTTTGTCTTTTGCAATTCAGTTAATAAAATAATTTCTGAAGACAAAGCTTCAGTTTCTGTAACAAATTTTCCATAACTTTTACTGTACTATAATGTTAGTAATAAAGGGAGAAAATCTGCACAATATTTACATTATGATTTACTGCAATATGCACACTTGCACATGCGCATGTACAAACAACACACACATGCTCTCTCTTTCTCATAAGTTCAAGATCTCATTGTAAATAGGAAGAAAGCACAGATGTATACACATAATACAAGTTCAAAATCCCATTGCAAACAGGTAGAAAACATGGTCTCATATACTATATAAATATAATACACACACATACACACATAAGATTTCAATTATAGCTCTTAGGAATACTGTTGCTATACAGAAATCTCAGCTTTATTCACATTAACATGTAAGACAACAAAAAAATTACATGAATATAAAAACCAGTTCCAACAGTTTCTAATTAAAAATATAAACAAAACAAATTGACTTTCATATTTACAGAATGGACGGAAGATTAACAATGTTGTTAAATAGAGTTTAGAGCTTCTACAGTAGTTATATGACAAATATAAGAACTTTACTGCCTCTACAACATACACTGACAGTATAAGATGTCAATACAATACAGTACTTGCTGTTATTTAGTGTTGTCCCTGTGCCTCATTAGTTAAGCACTATGCCATGATGACATATGGGGGAGTGGAGGTACAGGTCCACTTTACTGGCCCTTGGCACTTGATGAAGGTGGAGCGGTTAGCTACAGGCCCTGCCAATTTATCCCCCCAGGAAAGGAGCCCCTGGTGCCCATTGGATAGGATGCTGCTTGTGCCCCAATGTCAGGTTGGATGCTGTGAAGAGAAAAATATTGTACTACCAGGAATCAAACCTGGGCCATACAACCAATATTACTCATAACTGTATAAAGATGAATGAACAATACTGTAGAAGCTTTGACTGATTGTATGAAAAGTACTGGTTAATGGAACACCCTTACTGAATAGTCTTTGAGGGTAAAAACATGTCAGTGAATTGAGCAAACAAATATTATATTATGTTGCAATGTGATGGTGTTAACTAAACCATATTAAAACTGGCCGCACCATACCTCAAGCGGTTAGTCACTGGCTTCCCACCGTGGCAGCCCGGGTTCGATCCCAGGTCTCGTCAAGTGGGATTTGTGGTGGACAAAGTGGCGCTGGGGCGGGTTTTCCCCAAGTACTTCGGTTTCCCCTGCCAATCTTAATTCAACAAAATTCTCCATCATCATAATCACCGGGGCAGGCTACAATAGGCCAATCAGTGGCCACCGTGCTGAGTGGACCCAGTTTGACTCCACCCCCCACTAAGCGAATTAAACCATATTAAATCACAATGCAATACAATGCTACACAAATAAATTTGAAAATACACGTACAATACTTGTTATGATGATTGAAACTTTTAATTTATAAATTGCTCCAAAACACCAGTAAACGTCTATCAGATTATATGGCATCAAATCTATAATGGTATTTTGTGAAGGTGTGAAATTTGGTTTCTCGTATTAGGGAAGTACACAGACTGAAGGCGTTTAAGAATGGGATGAATGTATGAATGAATGTATAAGGGGTGGGCCTTCTTGGCCCTTGCACCGCAACCACAGTGATCTATTGTGCCTTAAGAATGGGATGCTGAAGGGAACATTTTGACCTAAAAGGGATGAAATATAGAGGCTGGAGAAACTGCAAAATGAGGAGTTTCATAATATATTATATTTTCCAAACACTATTAGAATGCTCAAATCAAGGAACATGAGATGAGCAAGACATGTAACACTTACTGGAGAGAAGTGCATATAGAGTTCTAGTGGGAAATCCTGAAGAAAAATATCACTAGGAAGACCTGGTCACAGATTGGGTGATAATATTAAAGTGGATCAAAAGAAGTAAGATGGGAGAGTGCAGACTGGACTCGACTGCTTCAGGAGACAGAAGAGTAGTGGGCTCCTGTGAACATGGTAATGAACGTTCTGGTACAATAAAATTCTAGGAATTTCTTGAGTGGCTGTCCTCTCAGGGATGTGTGGCAAGGCATGTACTCCTTCTGACCTAATCCTTTTAGGATGGGTCAGTGCATTCTGTTGTCAGATATTGTTTTTGACCTAATCCTTCCGGCTGCACTAGGCCCTGGGGTTTACTCAGCCTCTAACAGAGATGAGTACCAGGAATTAATTAAATTATTTTCCTGGGGAGTAAAGTGCAGGCGGTGCATAAGGCTGACAACCTTACCGCCATCTTTGAGCCGATTGTCAAGGTAATGTGGGACCCTTAACGTCTCACAACCCTATGGGCCTTCACGGCCTGTTACAGGGATAGCTTTATTTTACTTTACTTACTCTTAAGATATGGCTGAGCTAACAAATGGAGTTTGGACCTACCCTTCTATATGAATGATTAATTGACCAGAGCAGGATGATGTCAGAATGGCTGAAAACAATAAGTTCTGAACTGCATTCAAACTTTGCTTGGTACCACCCACCAGACTTAATTAATGCTTTATTCTAGGCAAGTGAACAACAAATTGTGCAAGACAGACAGGAAGACACATAAGTCCACTAGACACAAGATGGTGCCATGTCCATTCTTCTCTCATCCCAGCAAGAAGCAGTTGTGTGCATGTGGTGTATTAAGAAAGAAAGTCACTGTTGTGAAGGATAGTTGTCTGTTAGTGGCAGAAATTGAGAATATCAGTTACAGCAGACATCAAGTTCTTCCAAAAATTAGGTCAATCTCCTAGCAAAATATTTCAGATGATCTAGCAAGTGCATGGTGAAGAAGCCTTTGCCCATAGTGTTGTTTTTAAGTGGCACAAACGTGTTACACAGGGGAGAGACAGTTTGGAAGATGATGAGCATACCGGTCAGCCAAGAACAGTCAGAACTGAACTCAAGATCCAAGAAGTTGCAATGTTGATGCATGCCAGCTGCTCCCAAATGGTAGATGAAATCACAGAAGCAGCAGGGATTAGCCATGGTACTTGTGACAAAATTCTGTCTGATGACCTGAACATGTCTCGTGTAACCCAGCACGGTGTTCCACATTTCCTGACGCAAGACCAATTACGGTGACCTGAACAACGGTGCTATACCACCATTGGCAGACTTGCAGAGCAGCCAAGAGTAAATATTTTGAGGGAGGATTTGGATATGTGTAAGTATATGAAACACCTTGAAACATGGTTTCAGGTAAATAACCGTGGGATTGTCGATGTTCTAAATGACAACCACGTAGAACTGTAACAATTGTATATATTAAATCGTACAAATGGAATTTACAGAAATAGTTGCGAAGCTATGTGGGCTGTTCAAAGCAAGAGCGTGGTAAACGTGTTTCTGCAGCAAAAGATCAACACACAACAATGAAGGAACTGCTGGTGGCGGTGGATTCTGTGTGGTCCACAGTGAGAAGACTATATAGAGAGGCCCAATGGGAAAAGTTAGTCAGTCAGAGGTTAGACTTGGTGGGTAGCAGTCAGTTGTGAGCTNAGAGGAACTGCTGGTGGTGGTGGATTCTGTGTGGTCCACAGTGAGACTATATAGAGAGGCCCAATGGGAAAAGTAAGTCAGTCAGAGGTTAGACTTGGTGGGTAGCAGTCAGTTGTGAGCTGCAAGTGAGCAGTGGCAGTTCATGGCTGACTGTGAGGAATTTCCGTTATTAGTAGCTGCTACCTAGTAATGACTATTGATGACAGAATAATAAGAAGAAGACTTTTTGTGTGTTGTACTTGTAGTGATCTATAGAGTTTATAAATTAGTGACATTGATACGGCTATTTGCAATTACAAGTGATACGCATTCAATATATCCTATTATCAATCCAAACCCCATATCTCTTCCCTAGCACATGACAGTATATTCCAAAGATGACAACAGCTTATAATCAATGCATGTGTCAATCTGCTGTTCAATTCTCAAAGGGTAGTGTTCTGTCATAATAAAATGTCCAAGTGTTATAGAACACTATGATGGGGCTTGCTTCACATAGCCCTGGCAAACACGCTTAACAAAATGTAGTCCAATATTTTCTTGCTTTTCATTATCATGTATATTAAAGCAAGCTATATATTTGAGAAGTGGATTTCAAACAATGATTTGTCCATTCAGCTACCTTCTTCCGTTAAGTAAGTGACAAAGTCCATGTATGAACTACTTTCTGAAAAATCAACATTCATTTTTTATTTTTGGTCTCTAAAAATTAAGCGGAGCTTAGCCCCAACAGCCCGTAAGAACACACTACTCCAACTAAGAACTAATATTATAATTAATGAAAACAAGCATGGTATAATGATTGTTGCATTATACTGTCAGTGTTAAGTTGCAGAATCAATAACATTCTTATATTTGTCATGTGAATTTGTACATCATATGAGTCTTTAGTTCTTTTATATATTATGTATAATTCATAAACGTCTGTAGAAAAATGCTGGGTTGTCTGTCCAATTGGATTATCTCAGATGTCACTCCAAGGTGTGCTAATAAATAGGATGGCTTCTTCTCCTTAAATAAATGTATAGGAGTATAATCATATGATAATATCAATATGCTAATGTCTCATCCTCCTTGCATGCCTATGGCAGTAAATTAAAAATATAAGTGATTTTCAAAACCTTCAAACTTACAAGAAAATGTAATTAACTGCACTGCAGAATACTGCATACCAGTACCTGATACAGACCAGAAAAATCAAGATTAATCTTTAGTACTACTAACAAAACTAATTTTACTCATTTTACTTTTCTGGCTTCCTTGTAAATTTATCTAAATTGGAGATGGTCAGTTTTGGAAATAACCTACCAGTTAATGTTTTCATTATCCCTGATCCCTTCAATAATGCTGTGTGCCTTTGCTGACTGCACTTAACAGCAACATGTCCATACCTTGATTCCAGCAGCTCTCAGACTCTCTAAAGTTTCCTGCACCCCTTCTTGTAATTCATCTTCTACACCAGTGGCACCAAGCAATGTAAGATTGGCCTCCATCTTGTTATAGCTTGCTGCAATTATTGATGTCCTCTGTGATGACAAAGTCTGCCTTGACTGTTCTACTTGAGCTGCCAGTTGGCTGTATTCCTTCACACTCAACTTCTTGTAGCATATTACAAGTGTCCTCAAGCCTCTCTGTTGAGAACACAAAATCATGAAACAAAGGTAATCTGGTGTCACAAAACATTTGTCATGTTTATGGAATGTCTTCAAGTCTATTTCTTATTAGAATTTTATTAAGCAAGCAAGCTGAACCTATGTAAGATTTGAGGCTTTCACGGCGGTGACTATGAAGAAAGCAGTCTTCTGGGATTTGGCTCCGTGTAACACGGTGCCAAATCCCAGAAGACTGCTTTCTTCAAGCTGAACCTGTTTTACTTGTTTGAAATTTTTTAACAGTTCTTTGTTTCGTATTTTGTTGATTATTTCTTATTGGAGGAGATTCAGAGCTGTAAATATATTAACGGTTTTAACAAAAGAAAAATACATCAATATAACCCAACATTAACTGCTAGAATGATAAAAGAATGCGAAAAACTGAATGAGTATACTCATGTACAAATTAGACAAGCAATAAAGAAAACTTTATCACTGACAGCTAAATAAACCAGCAACAATTACTTTGAAGCCAACTGCAATTTTAAACATATGTGAATGGACTAAATAATAAACCCAATATGCATAATTTGTTTATGCCATTTAACCCTGTTTCTGGATCACTATAATAACTATTGAAAGAAGATCTGTATCAAGGAGTTCTGTGGGTGTGATTTAGTCAGACTTGACATTCAAGGTATCTGGTAAATCTTGCCTAAATTAAAAATTTATAGTTTAGAGAAAAGGTACTAACCTCCTCAGTCAATTGTTTTAGATTCAAGAATGGTAAAATTCAGTGTGGATTTTTCAACGCTGTTTTCCATCCCTTTTCTCTATCAAAGATAAACCTCTTTGAATGTGAGGAGTACCAGACCACCACCAGGACTGACAGCCCATGTTAAGCAATAGGTCCTTGACAGCCATTGTTGTCATAATCAACAGCATCATCATTATAATCATCATCAGAGTGATCAAGCAGTCTTTAGAAGTAAATTAAATTGTGACATTTCTTGGAAGAAAGCACAATGACAAGAAATCATTCCTTATTATCGTCATTGGCATACAGCTATAAATTGCATATTTCCATTACCTGACAGAAATACTTAAAATTCTGATGTGACCTGCCAAGTAAGTAGTCAGTTCATGTGACAGACTACTTGTTTATGTTACAGTGAGAGTGTAAAAGAGCCGAAGATTAAGATTTATAGCTGAGAATTTAGAAGAATATCAGGCAAACTCAGAGGCCAATGCATAATGTCATATGAGACATAAATATAATTTTCATAGCTGATAATTTTATATCCAATGAAACATGAGTCTAATATCCTGTATAAAACTACTTGTATTTAATAAGCCATCTATGAGCCAATTGTCTAGAAAATATGGAAGCCTCGACGTCTCACAACCCTATAGCCCTCCATGGCCTGTTAAAAGGATAGCTTCACCCTCAGTCATAAGCATCTGTGAGATATATCTATGTAAGAGCACCCTATATGAGACGCACCAAGGCAAAATCTGCAACATGCTTCAATGTATCATTAATGGGCCCTGCCTCTGTCAAAGGAATGACAGAAGATTCTGCTCCTTTACAATATAGCCATATCTGTCCATCTCTGTCCTGTACAACTACTGACATCCTCTTGCGATCTGTAAAAGAAAACACTAATAAGAGAATCATTTAACGAAGGAAAATCTTCATGAGCTCTGACAAGAAACTGGAACAGCAAAGTTTTGTACAAGGCCACTGAAGATAAATTATATAAAACATATTAGAAATTACTGTTATGTTTAAAATCATTATGTGCTATTAATTATTTAAAGGTTGTACCATCTAGCAACCTTAGTATTTCTTAAAATGAGATCTTACCAGAAGTAAATTCAAGAGTGTTGAGTCTCCTGTAATGACACACTTTACCCTTCACCATCACAGACATGGACTCTCCTTCTTCTCCTAAGAACACCACCCCACACCTGTAATATACCACATAATGCCACTTCTTTAAGAAACTTTATTTAGTATTAATGAATATTTCTACTCACATTCTATGTTTCATACTAAGGCTGCACCATAGCTCAAGCGGTTAGTCGCTGGCTTCACACCGCAGTGGCCCGGGTTCGATCCCAGGTCTGGTTAAGTGGGATTTGTGGTGGACAAAGTGGCACTGGGGCACGTTTTCTCCTAGTACCTCGGTTTCCCCTGCCAATCTTCATTCCACCAATTGCTCCACAATCACCCTCACCTATCATCTGGGGCTGGTACAAAAGGCCAGAAGTGGCTGCAGTACAAGGGACTTAGTCCCACCCCACTAGCAATAAAAAAATGTTTCATTCTCTTTCCTTATTTTTCTGTGATTACAACACAAACATATGGGCTCACATATACATGCAACGCATCTCACACATAAACACTCACTGGCACTTCCATCCATATATGTATATCCATATATGCATGTATTAGTTCATATTAAACTTCACAATTTCTCTCCCTATATAAAGAAGTTTCATAAACAAAAGGTGAAAGCTCTGAAATTATGAAATTTCAGGTTAGTATAGCAACAAATTGCTGAGTGTTAATGTTGTCACATGGTAGTGATCAGACACAAGGTTTGGATTAATGATTGAATTTACTTGATATCTGTAGCTCTACAAATGACTGTAAAAGTCTCATTAATTTACATATGCTACAAATCACTACATCCTCATATGCAAGTGGGTTACAATACCCCCACCTTAGCCATGCAAGTCATAGAAGGCAGCAAAATGGGAACCCAATGCCTGGTGATAAAATTAGCCCACCCTGTCAATGGGGGACTTAAATACAGAGACCTGGTCATTCAGGTAGGGGGTGGACTGCAGTGCTGATGACCTGACTCTGCAAAAAAATTATTGCGAACTCCCAAAAGTGAAAATCAGATGGTTTAATTCCCAAGAATTAACAAATCTGGCAGAATCTTATAAAAAAAGGGCTATGGCTCAAGAAGGGCTGTTTTGATGGTGGCCGAGGCAGTGGTGGTGGTGATATATCACTATAACCATAGCACACATGAGGTCTTCTGTCTCTTATTCTTTAATCACTATATTCATTGCTAGGTAGCAACTGCTAGCAATGGAGATTCATCACATCCAACTACGAACTGTCACTGCTCACTTGCAGCTCATGACTGACTGACTATGGGCTGGTTGGTTGGGTAAATTTCTGCTGGTCCTCACCAGTACAGTAGTTCTTGGCACTGACTCCAATAGTAATCATGATCATATTTTCCTGCCTCACAACTGGCTGCTGATACTGGTCCTCATTAAATAACCTTAGCATGGACCACATTGAAAACACTGCATCATCTACTGTTACATCAACATCCATTGCTGAGGGAATGTGTTTACAGTGCCACTTCCTAGCAAATGACTGCCTTTACTAATTCAACTATTCTAACATTCAGCATTTATGTCACAATATGTTGCATGAATGTAAGTTATGTATTAGGTCATGAATGAGCCAAATAGTGTCCTGCTTCAATGCACGGTATTAACATTTTCATCTGGATATGTATACTATAATATAAAGAAGACAGTTTGGAATCAGTTATTTGTGCGTATTATTCATGGGAGGTGGTGTTAATTTTTTTTTTATTTGTTTAGTGGGGGTGTAGTCCAGCTGGATCCACTTGGCATGGTGGCCACTGACTGGCCTATTGTACCTGCCCCGGGTGATTATGATGGAGAATTTGGTGGAATGAAGATTGACAGGGGAAACCAAAGTACTCAGAGAAAACCCATCCCAGCGCCACTTTGTCCACCACAAATCCCACTTGACCATACCCGGGATCAAACCCAGGCCACTGCAGTGGGAAGCCAGCAACTAACCGCTTGAGCTCTGGCATGGCAATAGCAGTTTCAGTGTTTAATTCAATAATATGTAGGACTGGAAAGGAGTGCAAGAGAAACTTAATGGTACAAAAGTTTATACAACAAATGATGAGATTTCTTGCTGCATTACACTATACTTACTACACTTACTCCTACTTATAACAGTCTTGTAAATATTAAATAGTTATGAATTCACACAACAATTGTCTCTTTACCTGCACTGCTTACCTTGCACTAGCTTCCACTAAGGCCTTTTCATCTGGACTAGAAGCCTGATAATCCAAGCTTGCAATACGATAAGCATCAGTGTTATTGTTTGTGTGTCCTTTTCCAGTGCCAATTTGCACTGAGTGACACAGAGCTAGAGCCAACAGAAATTGATCCATCTCAGGCTGAAAAGAATAAAATGACATAATAACTACCATTAATTAAGGTATGAAACCATCAGAATACAAATATGTTTGCTCTCAAATATATTCTAAAAATCAAAATTTGGCAGGCACACCAAACAGGTCTCACATATTGTTGTATTCTGATAGTTTTAATACAGTAATTAATTTATTGCAATAAGTTGACAGGGATTCACATGTTAAAAGTGACAATTATGAGACAGAACTCTGCCAATTTACAGTAGAGCAGCAGTAAATTGTAACTGCACTATACAAACCATAACCATTATTTTTTGTGTACCTGCATATTTTAATTTTCTGTTACATCTTGGGTCGTTAGCCATTATTTTGTATCTACGAAAATGCCACATTCCAAAGCACATAAAAGAAGACAAAGGTAGAGCAGATGCCATAGAATCAGCCATACAAGGTGCAATAAATGGACAGCAGTACATTATTTTGGAATTAAAAAATATTGTCACATGTATCATCGCTGACTAAAGACGGGGTTCAGATTGGTAACTGGAGTTACTGATCACTTACAGGTTGTAACTAAACTTAATTATAACACTGTACCTAATTTTCACACTACAAAGCACTCCACACTAATCTCTTCAGTCTATCTCCATTAGTCTTCACAGATATATAAAACAGGAACTCTTAAAAGTTCCACTAAATCACACACTCCCAATATCACTGTACTACAGTACACATAAAGTCTCCAAATCACATGTTAAATCTTCACAGGCTGACTTCTTGTACTCTTCTGTACTCCTGAGGCTTATTGCTTGCTTGCTTGCTTGCAGGCTTCTGCCACTTACAACTCACTCCCCCAGCTTACTGCTTCAGCTTTGGAATTCTGCTCACTTATGTAGGCGCAGCATGGACACACCTCACAGAACACACATGTCATGTGATGGCTACCCAACTAGTCCATGGGCATGCTGGCTGCTGCCTACAGAAAACACATGTCACGTGACAGCTACCAAATGTTGTGGTGACATCATTGCACCTGCACAGAAGTGTGTTTACCAAGCCAGGCAGGCAATGCATTGATCAAATCCATTACAATACATTACACTGTTGGATTTGAGTTTCTTACAGCAGTGAATATGAAGACTTCTATCTTTTGAGATATAAAGCTATGTAGTTTAGAAAAAGTCAACCAGTGCTTTGGAGGAACATGTCAACTCCATCTTCAGAGTCAATAAACAAGCCAAGCAAAAAAAACTTTTACCTCCAAAATTTGAAACAAGAGGGCTAACACTTAACTATGACACTCAGTGAGACTTACTGCAGTGAAAACAAACTGGCTGAGTAGACTGCACAGAACACATGCTTCCTGAAAGTAGCAAGGGCATCCCTTTCCATAGCACAGAATTGCATAAAAGAGAGCTAGGATAGAGCATTGGTACAGTGACTAGGCTATGGGCTGGATGACTCAGAAATCAGGGTTTGATTCCAAGAAGGGGCAAAAGATTTCTCTCATCTCATTCAGAGTCCAGACCAGCGCCGGAGCTCACAAAGCATACTATCTAACAGTACGGTAGGATCTTTCCCCTGGGGTTAAAGTAGCAGAGGCATGAAGCTCACCACTCACCTTCATCTAGTGCTAAGATTAAGAATGCGTGGGGCTGTACCTTCACTCCCTTATATGTCTTCATGGCATAATGCTTAATTAAACAAAGGGAAAACATTACAAATCTGCATAAAGACAGTGACTGGTAGAAAACCACTAGCTGTTAGAGATTGATTAGACTGCAATACTTGGATTATCATATCTGACAAAGTCCTTAATATTACAGTAAAAGTCTGGGTAGAGTTATAATAATAAATTCAAATAAATATTTGTAAAGTCTGTTGCATGGGAAAAAAACAGTGTGTGCATAAAATAGCGTAATGAATGAATGTCAAGAAATGTGTACTATCTACTTCCTGTACAAGTAAAATAATGAAATAAAACCACTTGCTAAATATATTTCCTGTATGTACCACAGTCAAACTCAGCACAACAGGTTAATATTTCATTTCTTGCCCATTGCTCTTCATGTGCTTATTTCTTTTTCTTCTTTTAACTACCAATTTCTTGCAGTGAAAGGAATGCAGCAGGACTTTAGAATGACTAAACACTTCCTACACAGTTAAAAATATAGAGTAAATTTAACACAGATCATATGGATAATATCAATTCCTTTTTCAGTGGTTGTTCAAGAAACAGCAGTTCAGGACAAGATGAAAATGCATACTGAACTGGCAAAGTTTCTTTAACTTTACCACCCATAAATGAATTTCACATGGAGTTTTTAAATTCCCATAGTACTAAGGGACTGGGGGCCAGACTTCAACTGAGGAGTAACTAGTATTGAAAAAGTGCCAGCCAGATTGCACACATGCTCCATTACAATAACTCAGTCATTCCTTCATTCATTCATTTCCTTTATTTTCCATATATCCATACAGGCAAAAAACCTAGGATGTAGAAATAGTCCCTTCGATAATAGATGTATACATATAATAAATTACTTATGTCACACAACCTAAATCACACACACTAGTAAACTAACATAGACAAAAGAACAAAGAAAAACAAGAACTTATTACAATTATAATTACTAAACATAATTTAAAGAGAGCATTACTATAAAAACTTAAAATTAATACAATAATACAATACAATACAGTGTACAACAAATAGAGGTTAAGGAAATAACTTGACACATACACACAAAATATACATTACATTACATTACACGCACGCATACACATGTACATACATATGTACGTATATATTATTTTGTTGTCACGTGCTTGAATGTATAACAGCCTTCACTGCAGCTTCTCGGATTATTGATCTGATAAGCAGTTAGTCCATAAATTCATGACATGTTAAGTAAATTGTAATGTCCATTTTACAACAGAAACCTTTGACATTCACATAAAGGGACTAAGAAACTAATGGATAATGTAGTCAGGTTAGCCTTCTTCTTGTCAGAGTCACTTTTTCTAGATACAAAGCTGCAACCTTAAACTACAGAAATTCTGAGCACTCTTAAAATATGAATTTAATCCTATTTTACATTTATTATTTTTCCTTCCTCTTCTCAGTCCCTTCAGCAACATTGTAGGAGAGTACCTAAATCTATGTTTTATTATTGGTTCTTTCCCATTTATCACTGACTTTTTCTTCAGAGTTATTATTATCACAGATTTCAGAACCTATGTACACCTCACTGCCTTAGTAATTAGAATCCACAAAAACACACACACATGATGACAATGGAAAGAACTTACAGTGAATGTATCTATGAATATGCTGTTTCTTCTATCACCATCTGCCTGAAGCTGAAGCATCCTTCCTCTCTCCTCCAAATATGGGATGCCGGCAACTGAACATCGTCTGAACCACATGGAGTTTTCTGTGAGAGTACCTGTCTTATCAGTGAACAGGTATTCTACCTATTGAAAAGAAACTTCAGAAATCATACAAATAATTTCCAAGCAAGCATTATCAGCATCAAGCAAACACATCAGGGTTTCTCAATTAAGTAACTAGCCAAGCTTGCTACCTATGAATATCCAATATGATGCCGTTCACAGACAGGACAAATGAAACAGAAATACAAATTTTGGAATCAATGGATTAACCTTGTAATGCTGTCATGAAACACAAATATGAAAGTTTAATCAATCCAAAGAATCATCATCATCATCAGTAATCTGTCAGATGACAGGTCCACAGTCTCTTCCAAAACAATTCCTCCACTTTATGCGATCTAGAGCTTTCGCCTTCAAATGACAGTATCCTCTTCTGTCCCCAAGGTCATCCAGCATCTTCTTATGTCTTCTTCCTCATCTTCTTGTCACTTCTATCCACCCCTCTATCTTTCCTTCAATAACTTCTTTTAGAAGGCAGGTTCTGCGTAAAACATGACCAATCCAATTAGCCTTCTGATTTCTTATTTCATGTAGGATATTCCTCTGCTCACTGACTCTAAATAACACTTCTTCATTTCTCACATAATCGGTCCAAGTGACCTTCTCCATCCTTCTCCAGCACCACATTTCTAAACTTTCAAGATGTTTCTGATCTACATAGAAGATGTAAGATTTGAGGCTTTCACGGCGGTGACTATGAAGAAAGCAGTCTTTTGGGATTTGGCACCGTGTATATGTGGTGTTAACCTCACATATACACGGTGCCAAATCCCAAAAGACTGCTTTCTACATAGAAGATATTTTTAAGAAGTACATTTGGTGCACCTATCATTCTGTAACTCATGTTAATTCTTGATATTTGATCCAAAGCACATCATATATCAGAATAAGATGTTTCATATTCTGACTTGTTCCACATTCTGCTTAATACAATCTGTGGAATGCATCCACCTATCCAGTTAATGCAAGTGAAAATGTAATATGTTCTTATTTAGATACAAATTAAAGTTAATTAATAAAGGTTATTATTACTGATGAACTGTTCACATTAAATTAACCATCAAATTCACTATCTACTTTGTTTCTTGCATTTAATGTAATGTCATGTATTCAATGTAATGTAAACTGTCTACTGATAACAATTACCCCTATTAAACTGTGTGAGGCTAGTCAAGTAGAACCTAACTGGATGCATTAGATGCTAATTCTTGTATTTAATTTAACTGGAAGGTAATTAGTTTGACTACTAACTAACTCCATGATACACAACCTTTCTCGAGAAGCTGACAACTACTAGCTGATGAAGAATTTCCTTGCCTTTATGGAAACCAGAAATCCATTAATATGCTGAAAAATCTTCAATTTTCTTAGCCATTTGAGTCAGTTTCACATTTTCACATTGCATTTTTCCAAAATCCACTTTACTATCATTATCCTACCTTTAGCTAGGTATCCTAAGTGGGCTCTTCGTTTGTTGTTTTCTGACCAAACTTTTGTATTTTTTCTTGTCTTTTTCCAATAGTGCTCCATGGCTCACCTAGCTCATACTTACGTTACAGAACTTATGGAAATTTACCTCAAGAGTGAAGATAAACCTCATTCTAAAAAGTCCCTTTCTGCAACTTGCTCAAAGGATTAAAATGTCTAAAACTGGCAGTTTTTGACTACACATGCTTAGTTGTTTTCAATTATAAATCTCATATACTAAAGCTAACATGAATAAATACACATTTATGTACATAACTGGGATATTTTAAAGTGAAAAACACATAAGAACAAGCATAACCCACTGTTATACAGATATAAGTAAGGAATTACAATGTTCATTAACCCAAAATGCTTCAATAAAAGTTGATAACTGATCCAAAATATGTGACATACTTCGAAACGATGGGAAAACAAATTTACTAAATTAAGTTCTAGTGATTTCTCTTTTAAGACACAAAACTAAATAGAAAATAATATGCATGATTTTTTATTTATGCATATGCATGCCTGCATGAGTGTGTGTGTGTGTGTGTGTGTGAGGGGGGGGATAATGAAGTTTACCATACCTGTCCCAGTTCTTCATTCAAGTCTGAACTGTTACAAACTGCAGGTTGATTTGTCTTTTCACAATATAGCTCTCTATCCCACATGAAGAATAATGAACCAAGAAATTTCTGTGTTTCTGCAACATGTGAACACATTATATTCAGTTAATCAAAATACTTAATAAGGTAACATATGGGAAATAACAAGATGTTAGAATTTTCTACAGACAGAGATCTTCTGGCCTGCAATACCAGTCTTCTGAGGGTACAGATGTTCTGGAGGAACATACTGCCTACGTCATCAGGATTAAAGTATTGTAATGAGGGGGTGTCCTCCATTGCACAACACATCACAGTATGTATGTACACTTCAACCATGAACATGGATACAGCATGTAGTTACTATAGGATTCTGACGATGGTGTATAACACACAGATATATTGGGTTTTCGGACTTTCTCCATCATCCTGGTTTTAAGATAACTGAGAAAAACACGACATTTTGGAAACTGGATCCGTTTCCAAAACGTCATGTTTTTCTTAGTTATCTTAAAACCAGGACGATGGATAAAGTCCAAAAACCCAATATCTCTGTATGGATACAGCATGCTCAATGCTTCATCCCCGAAGACAGAGATGGGATATTCCTTTAAAATATCAGTATGTGCCTATAAGACTCAACAGTGTCATAACCAAGAAGACCTTAATCATGGAAAACCATGGAAAACTCAGAATTCACCCTTTAGTGGATAACCCACAACTTAAATTAGCTTATACTTCATGAATTATTTAAAAATGCTTCCTTCTTAAAAGAAAAAGTCATTCACTTACATCTGACATGCCATATCTGTACACAACTTTAAATGGTAAAACTAACTTCCTGAATACAAATATATTTATATTGACCTTTTCCTGGACAATGCTAACAAGGTACTGTTACAGAGCTTCCCAGAAATAATGTATCTATTGAAAATGACCCATTCTGGCATAACACTGCTCTTTTTCATGTACTTCTAGTTCAAATAATGTTAGATGACACTCACCAATAGTAACATACAAAGAGATAGGAATGATGTAGTTATAAAGAATAACAAATGAAAATAAATCCTGTACTACTGTTGAAACATCAATACTACTTCTTGGTCCTAGGTATGATTCTGTACCTGAAAGCAAAGAAATGAATATCATATTAGGAAACAGTCAAATGCAATTTCATATGTTGATGTATTATTTTTCATTCTGTATCACTTCTTCAAAACCAATTAACAGATGATTTTATGTCTTTTGATTCATCAAGTGTGTAAATGTAATATGTAGCTGATTAATTTGTTGTATTTGTGTAAAGACAATGAAATTAATGGTAACTAGATCTAGATAATATTATTCAGATGACAAACCCCCTATATTAGGGTGGTACAGTGTATACTGTAAAGATATGCACGAGAATGAGATGTAAAACTGACAATTTCCCTATCCAAATGGTTGTAATACCTGTATGTATAGACTGTTGAATGATAATAAAAATGAAAATGAAATGAAAAAAAATGAGATATAAATGAATCTTAGTATGAAAAATATTTTATTAGTCAATTACTGGTAGAATTTATAGTAATGCAGTCTTAAACTTTCCACTCCTGTTTACATCAATTCATTTCATAATGCCTGTTGAGGTCTCCAATAAATCTGGAAATCATATATAGACAAGTCTGAAATGAGAGCATTTGCAACAAATCATGCATTTTTTGCAAGAAATCTTGCATGTCCAGCAAGACCTCTAACTTAAAGACATTTACTTCATCACTCAAGGCTATAAAACATGGTGTACCTCAAGGTTCTGCTTTGGGACCCCTATTATTTTTATTGTTCATAAATGATTTGCCCCTAGCTATTCATGAGGCTATGGTTGTATTATTTGCTGATGATACAAATATACTACTTACTGCCAATAATCTTTTATCATTAAATGAAAAAATCCTAAATTTTAGGAATCAATTAGAAAATTGGTTCCATGAAAATCATCTCATAATAAACATGGATAAGACTAAAGTATTATTCTTTCAGGGAAGAAGACCTACTCCAATCTATATACCTCTTTTTTGCTTAAATAATAAGGAAATAGTTTATTGATCAAATGTAAAATTTTTGGGTATTTGTATTACTGAAAATCTAAACTGGGCAACTCACACTCAAGACATATGCCAAAAGCTCAACAAGGCTCTTTATTTGACTAAATCCTTACATGACTCAGCTAGCCGACCTGTATTAAGAAATGTTTATTTTACTAAGTTTGAATCTGTATTGAAATATGGTATTATTTTTGGGGGTGGGGGGCTTAAGGACTCCGAAACTGTATTTAAAATACAGAAAAAAATGTCTAAGAGTAATTAAAGGTGTTAATAATATAGTATCCTGTAGAAATATCTTTGGTGAATTTAAGATTTTAACTGTTACCTCATTACCTCGCAATACCTCACATAGTCCAGCTTCGATCAGTCCGGATTCGCCGGTTTGAAAATTTCAAAACAAACTAAATTTTAATTCAGCAAAATAAAGATAAATTCTAAAAAATTAGTACATAAAATTAATTTTAATACATACATGATCGGTTTTTTCCCTTTATACAGTCAAGTCTCTTTTTGTGCAGTTTATTTTTATGTGGTTTTAAAGTTATGCGATACGATACATATTTCAATTTTTTCTGGGGTTCCCCGTTGTATATGTATGTACCTATGCTCGGGTCGTTCGTTCTTGAGCTCTGACAGCTATTGCTGGAGGAGGTGGGGAGAGCGCTACTTTAACAAAATTTTGGAAGAGCTACAACATCAGAAATGTTATCAAAAATATAGGCGAGACATGGCATGAATTAACGGCAAGCAATATGAGGGCAGTATGGAAACATATCATACCACACTGTGCAAATGGTTGCATTAGTTTTGAAATTCATTTTGCTGAAGTCACTAATAACATAGTGTAAATTGGACAGCAACTTGGTTTCAATGAATTAGATCCCATCAAAATAATTAAGTGCATCAAATTGAACACTAATGAACTAGATAATGAAACACTTATTAACACAGATGAACAACGGGCTTATGAAGAATGGGAGGACAACTTAGACGACTGTGTTGAAGTGCCTGCATGAGAATTAACAGCTGAACAACTATAAAAAATTATTGGAATGATTGAAACCTTGTCAGAGCATATTACGGAAGTTGATCCCAATATTGAAGGTAACCTTACAATTCGCCAAACGATAAACAGTGCAATTCGTTGCTACAAAGAAATGTATGAAGAGAAAAGGCCAAAGAAGAAAAATATGCAGATATCAATATTGCAATTTTTAGAGAATAAAAAACGAATTGCGAAAAACATGAATTTTTTAAAATTATTTCTAATAAAGACATTTGAATTTATTGATCGTGTTTTATTTATTGAAAACCGGAGAATATTTTGGGAACCAATTATCATTTTTTTGTATGTATTTAGTTCCTCGATTAGCCCGGTTTCAAACAGTCTGGGATATTGGAGGAACCGATTACCCAGACTATGTGAGGTATTGCTGTATATACAACTCAGTATTCTGACATTCACAGCTATAATACCCTACATAAACATAATTTGTACATCCAATTTTGTAATACCGATCATTGCAAAAAAGGTGTAATTAATATGGGAACTAAAATATTTAATGGCCTTCCCCTTGAATTAAAAGAATTAAAAATTTCAATATTTTCAAGAGGAAACTAAAAAGTTATTTGCTGTGCAGCGCTTTCTATTCTCTTCAAGAGTTTTTCAACTAATGTTGGATTGATGACTAGCTTGTTGTCTTACTGGTTTGCAATTTTTAATACTGTGTTTACATGTTTATATTACTGACATTTTTCATTTGGTCTTCTGTATTTTTTGTTGTTATGTTCCTTATAACAGTTGCTATATTATAGTGATAAACCACTGTGTAAATTTTATGTGACTTTGACATGTGATGTATTCGCTATTATTTCTTGACAAGACCAACTGTATTCACTTCAGTTATGGACAAAAATAAAGTTGAAGTTGAAGTCGACTGTGAATATTAACGAGTTTAGTATAATTTTCTAGGCAATCAGAATTATCTACTCATTATTTAACTCCTATATTTCAGATAAAAAGAGCTTGTTTATTCACACAAATGTTTCACAACAACAACAATGACGACGACATCATCACAAACATGCATAATACTGTGTTTTGCTTTCCTCTAAAAGGTGATTAAAATGCAACTACTTACTGTACTTATCACCAATTTCTGCTGCATACTTTAAGGCAAGGGATACAGCAACTTCAGTCAGCAAAAGGGCAAGGAAGAATAACAGGAAGCCATTAATTGACCTGCCAGTATTGAACAACAACGTAAGTATTTCAATTTATGGACTAATGCAGCACTAATATATTGTCACATGATACAGTGTGACTACAGACATGGTTTGGGTTGGTAATTGGATTTACTGAACTCTTAAACAATTCATGACTCCAATTTACAAACTACTGTCACACACAGACTATTGTTCTCCATAATGGTTTTCACTGCATTGATTGCTAGTGGCTTTAGATGGTGTAGCATCCTCATCTTCCATGTCAAATGGCTCCTATCCTCCCTGGTTGGCACCTTCCAGCATCAGCTCCCAAGCTGCACTCCCTGGCTTCCAACTGCCAAACTAACTCACGATGCACAACTGACAACTTACGTAGCCTCAGAATGGACTGCATAGAAAATACGACTCCCAACTGTTCTTATATTGTTACACCAAGTTGTTACAGCACAGACTGTGTAGAAGGCAGTTCTTCCCAATATTGCTGTATCCTCCTCTTGCAGTGGAATTGTTGAGTTCATATCTGTTGGCAGATCCATTACCTAGCAATGGGCCTACATGTCACACTGCCCCTTCCTTAAGGTTACTGGCCCCAAATAGCCTACAGGCGTCCCTCAATTCCTTCTTTTCCAAGGAGGGCTATGCTTGTGACGTCTGTCATCAGTCTCACCTTCCTTCCCCATGGCTCACTTCTCATGGTGATTATTATCCAACTGCACCCACTACTCTACCTGCTCCCTCCTTAAGGCTGCTCGACCCAAGTGGCTCCCTGATAATGTGAGAGCCGGTCCAGTGTACCACCAACATCCTTGATCTAGGGTTGTGCTGGATCCTGTATATCACATTGTTTATCAGTATCACTACCCTTTATGGGCCCTTCCATGGGGATTGAAGCTTGGGCTTCAGGTAGGCTACTACACTTTACAAATCACTATCACACACAGGCCAGTGTTCTCTATCACAGTTTTCACTGTGCTACTTGGTAACAGCTTTCACTGATGTACTGTCCTCAGCTTCCATGTCCAACAGCTGATGTCCTCACTGGCTGGCAACTTTTAGCTGTAGCCCATGAGCTGTACAAATTGGTTGCCAATTGCCAAACTCACAAAACACAATCAACTCCTTATGTAGCCTCAGCACGGACTGCACTGAAAATACTCTCCCAACAGTTCTTATATTGTTGCATCAAGCAGCTACAGCATGGACTGTGTAGAAAACACCGCCACTAATTATTGTTTTATCCCCCTGTTGCCACTGAATTGAGGCTTTTATGTCCACTGGCAGAGCCATTACCTAGCAGCAGGTCTATATGCCACAATGACTTCATCGAAATAATATATTATCATCATTTTAAAAACTGATCATATCATTAATTTGAAGTATGCATGCCAACAAGCAAATTACCTATGAGATGCTCTTCAAATTGCAAAATAGACCTGCACAATTTTTACAGTGTAGCCTCAGCACAGACCACATAAAAAACGCCGTTCCCAGCAATCTCTCTATTGTTGCACATGTATCCTTTGCCACCGATACATGTTTATTGAACCATTACCGAGCAGTAAATGATATGTTCTGGTTCTATTATTCCGCTTTTCAAGTATCATGTCACAATATATTCCAGTATACACGTACAAAGGGGACGAGAAAATTTTCAAGCTTAACAAAAGGTTTAATAACTTATTTTATTTCATTTTGTCTCATTTTTAACTTTCATGCTACCATACTTAATGTTACTACCCTCAGTACTTCATCATATACAGCATGCAAATTCTATTTTGACAATATTATAATATTGCAGCATCCTATTGCACTTCTCACTTATTATCAATTAGTTCTACAGTCTCGCATGCAACATTATTGTTCTATAAAACTTATTATGAGAATTTTATTTTGACAGTTTTACACTACATGTTTCTTCATTTTCTTGGCAACCAGACAGCAGGGTAGGAGTAAACTTCAGACAGAAAGATCAGGTGAAAGCTGAGGAGCACTGGTGGACGTAAACACTGAGCCCTCAATTTTCCTCTGGTGAAATTCAACAGGTTATGTATTGCTGGGTGATTATGTTGAGAAATAGTGTGTTTGCCTGCTACTCCTTATTCTGCTAGAAATCCATGTTGAAAAAAATAAATATTGTGGCATGTAGAGCCATTTCTAAGCAAAAAAGACAATGGAACAATGCCTGTTGCTAGGCAGCAGATTTTTAATGATGCAACAGTTTGAATACAACTGTCAGCACAGTTGTGCTCTCTACGTGGTCCATTCCGAAGATAGACGAGGTCTACAGCTTAGTTAGTTGATAGTCAGGCAGTGAAGAAGACCAGGAGGCTGGTGTGAAATGGCAGTGCGTGAGTGCACAGTTGAAAGTCCAGCTGTGAAGAGGAGACTTCACATGTGATATTTGGAGTGTGTAATTCAGTGAGAGTGTTATAGCTCCTGTATTAAAATCCATTGCCAGGAAACAGATAGTGGAGGCTGTAATAGACTGAGGACACTAGTCTATGCGTGTCAGTGATCTGCAAAATGTAATCACAAATTTGTGAGTATATAAGCTGGCAGCAAATCAAATATCCAATCCAAAACCATGTCAGGGGTTGCTCAAAATCGTGACAATATAACTGAAACACTGTTGGATGTCACTTATAGAATATTCCTCACACTTCATTGTTCTTAGGTCTAAATATTTTCCTAAGTACTCTGTTTTCAACCACTGGTAATTTATATTATTTATTTCCAGTAAGATATAATATTTTACACCCAAACAAAACATCAGGTAAAATAATTTTCCTGATATTTCTGTCAAAATTAACTTCACTAAGGGTCTGTAGTATTACATGAAATTATGAGCATAATAAGTGGTATAACTGAATGACTTCTATCTCACAAAATAAAACAAATGGATATAGCAAGTCATCTTTAAAATTGTTACCTAGGTTTCATTTGAAAAATCTCCTCACAAGAGTAAGATTAAATTCAGTATATAGAAAAAGAAAAAAGAAAACTCCTAAAAGTGTCAAAATAACTGGTTCCACAGCATTAATAACTTACTTTTCAACAGTAGAAAATTTGTTGCTAGTCAGCTTGGAGTTGAGAGCAAGTTTTGTTTCTTGTCCTGTGTACACTGCACAGCCTATAGAAAGCCATTAGTTTCATTACTAATTAGAAAAAAATATGTACATATATATATATATTGTATATGTCACCTTCTCTTCAATTTATTTTGCTCAAATTCAGTGTTAGAAAACTGATTCTGGTTAACAAAGGACACCAAAATGCAGAAAATATTCTGTAATAACATAGAAAAATAAGAATGACCATAAAGATCCATGAAAAGGTTTAGTTAACAAAAATTGACTTGTAAATCTTTTACGAAGTGCTTAAAAGCAGATGTACGAGTATGTGTCAAAGATAAGAAGATAGTTTGTAAAGCATACAGGAATATATATAAGTAAAAAAGAAAAATTAATAGAACTGATATGAATACAATTGCATGCTCTCCATGACTTAGTTATTGCAGGGCCTATGATAAGTATACAAGTATTTGCATGAAGTACGCAAAAAGACTGAGGGAAAATGTTTAAGTAGCTAATGGATGTAAGTTTTATTTCTGAAACCATGATAATATGTAACAGCAAATACCATATATGTATACCTATCTACATGTAGCTTTGAGTATGCATGTGTGCATGTATGACTCACTTGCATTCATAGGCATGCAGACATATGCAAATAAACTAACACTTGAATGATAACTGAAAACTGAAAGAGACCATGATGCAATTATATTATTCCTCCACATAGGACGCGTTACAATATTACATGTAGATAACTGCAAGTCAAGAAAAAGAAGAACAAGAAAGAGGCTGCTAAGACATGGAATAAGACTTACCAATAATAAATTCTGTGTTCTTGAGCCGGGCCCCTCTAAGAAGCAAATTCTCTGTTCCAAGTGGTGAAGTGTTCGTGGCTTGGACCATGGAGTCCAACTGTCCTGCACTGAGTCTTGTTTCTTTAACACTCCCTTGCTTTGACATTACACTTCTTTTGAAAGAGGTGCTTGGCAAAACTGAATTGACATTACTACCATATGCTTGAGATGATATGTTTTTGTCAACTTCTCTTTCAACAAAATTTACACCCTCATAAATAGAAGAACTATTTAAAAATTCATCTTCAAAACCAGGTCTGTATCTGTTAACATTAGTCTTTTTTAAGACTGCATCAGCTCCAAAACCATCAACTCTACATTCAACACTCTGACTTTCATCACAGCCTTCTTGTGTAGTTCTCTGAGATGCAGGTCTTTCCCCGGTACTAGGATGGTCCACTGCACAAGATTCTAAAGGAACAGTATTCATGCACTGTGAGAATGCACTTCTGTATATACTACTTCTACATGAAGCTGAGTCCCTGTTGTGATTTGTAGGCATATTACCATCCAGAACACAGGCTCTTCTCAAAGTGACATCATTGTCAATACAGTACTGCTGCAAAGTGATGTCCCCTTTTCTAGTACTGATATTCTGCAATGCTATGCCATCAAAGCTATAAGCATGCTGGGAAGTTCTCACACCTTGAATACTGGTTTGATCTAAGACTAAACTTTCATCCCATATATTTGTTTCACTGAGAAATATTTCGATTTTCCCAAAAAAATTGTACAGGTCTGATGTAGGTTGTTCACATTCAATCTGGGCTTTCAGTCGGGCCATTTGCTCTGGCTGTGATAAGTTACGTAAGAGTCTTGGGCACGCCAGAGTCTGTGTTGAAAGAGAAGAGAAATTTATTAATGAACCTACTGGTTTTGAGGATCTACAGTGGTTACTACGAAGAATAAGATTTTCTGGGTTGTAACACCATGTAATTTGGAAGTCTTGTTCAAAGGATTCTTGTGATGACATTCTCTAGGTCACTAGATCCATGAACAGTGCCCTTTTCAGAGCATGTACTTTGCCCTTTATGGGCACCTACCCTCCTAGTTTTCCTTGGCTGCTTCTTCCTTCCACTCCTCAATTTTCCCCACTTCCTCTTTCCCTTCTTACCCCCACCCAACATCTTGCCTGGATATACCTGCAACTTTTCTCCTGACTTCTATCATTTCATTTGGTTGACTGATGGCCTTTCAAGGCCAGGTCAGGTTACTTTTTCCTTGACTAGTACAGATCCTCTTTGAGTCCCCTTACAAACAATGGTGATGCTACCATTGGCTCTCTCACAGTTCCTTCCTGGCCTATATTAGGCCTTATTCTCTATGTGCAGTTCATTCTGTTTGTTGCCTGCTTCTTGCTGGTTTCTTATTTGGTTTACGATCCAACTCTGAAGACAGAGGCAATACATTCCTCCAAAATATCAATGCACTTCACCAAACTATGCACCGTTACAACCAAGAAGATCATACTCTTATTAACGAACATCTGAAGTGTCAAGTCGATCTAATCCAATGGTCTTTACTGAGGAAGAGATAATATTTCCTTTGTCATTACATAATCTTTTAATTTTCTACACTACTTCTGCTACTGATAATGTTTCCTAAAAATAAACATACAATGACACCCATGTAAGAACGTGAATACATTCTGCAGTAATGTAAAATCTTGAAGATTAAAGTTTTATTTTCTTTTTGAAAAATTTCACATGTTACATTTGACTGATTGTTCATAGAATAAATCCAAATTTAATGCTAAATTTGATTAATATTTCCATTTTGCTATCCATGCATATTCCTGTAGAATATTTTTATTTTCATTTATCAATAAAGTTGTACCAAATGCATGGTTAAGTTCTTAACATTTCTTTGCATTCTGGAGGTCTTAGAGTAGAATTTTGGCCCAGAGACTACCTAACATGACTGGAATTTTCAATCGCTTTCTCTCAGGGAAAATTCTGGGATAGTACCTCAAAATAAGTCATTTTCATTTTCTCCCACATTGAATCTGACACATAATTCACACTCATTTTGCCATTTGACAGTAAATAACCTATGCAGGTGCAAAAATATTATTAAATAAATCATGAATATGTCACCACATTTCTTGTTCTTTTCAAAAAAGTGAAGTGGTGGTAGAGCTAAATAAATGAAAATGGTTTTTCAGATCAGTAATAACAGAAACCTAAGAGAACAATTTAACCTGCACAACAAGAACAAGAGAATTTAACATTACCATACCTTAAGGTTAGTTTCACCATCCAGGTTAGCAGTGGTGATATAGCAACGTCCATCTTTGTCACTGGATGAAAGTAGGACCAGGTCACATGGAACATCAGCATCACTTGGTATCCTTACTAGATCTCCAACATGCACATCTTTAGCCTCAATGTCCTATAAGAAAAAAATTAAAGGTAAGGGGTCTAGTATAAGGAAATGAGCTGCCATCATCTCATTGTCATCACCACAACCATCATCATCATCGTTATGATGAAATTATATTGTATCATTAAACACATATTTCTCTCCTCCTCCCCCCCCCATTCTTATCATACCTGCCAGCTCCACCATTGGCTCAGCCATTTTTCAACATTTTGATCCACTTATATACAATTCAGCGTGGCAAACAATTCTATTTATGCTGAGCAGCCAACTGTGAGTGAATTTCTGCCACTTTCACCCTTCATAACAGAAAAGAATGCTACAGCATATTGCTCATCCTGGGTGCAAGCTTCTAGTGCAGCAGCCCTCTATACATCATGCTCACTTGCCACAAACCAGCTATAGGGGAGTCAATACACAATCAATCTATCTGTGTAACATTTGCATGTGCAACCTCCTTGTTGCACAACATGACACACCACGCCACTGTCTGGCATTCAGCTGTGGAATGACCAGGCCTCAGCAATGTTGCCAGTCATAGAAAAAAGGAATTCAATATTACAGATAATTTGAGTCTCCTTTGTCTTCCATTTTTTCAAACATTTCCCATGAGAAGAAAGCAGTCTTCTGGGATTTGGAACCGTGTATATGTGGTGTTAACCGAGGTTTAGGAGGAACGCATCGCCTCCATCTTCAGGGTAGAAAGAAAAATATAAGAAATCCGCAGACTGCTTTTACCAGTTCTCACAGTCTCTTCGCTTGCGGATTTCTTATATTTTTCCTTCTACCCTGAAGATGGAGGCGATACGTTCCTCCGAAACGTCGGTTAACACCACATATACACGATGCCAAATCCCAGAAGACTGCTTTATTCATAGTCACCGCCGTGAAAGCCTCAAATCTTACATTTCCCTTGATGTCTGGATCCTCTGAGAGCAAGCAAGCAGGCATCCATCCATCCACAAACACGCACGTGCAGATGCATGAGAGCGCATGCATGCAAGCAAATATACAGACTTTTATAATTATAGATACATGCGGTTACTGAATTTAGAGACATACTGGAGTTTTAACAACCTTCAAGAACGTTTCCTGACACAAAAATTTTATTTCAGATAAGTCAACTTTGAATGTTTCCTACATATGGCTTTGGTTTAGGTTTTGAATACAGTATGTGACATCTTTACCTGTACAATCCCTTTTCTTATGACAGTAACCAGAGAGCAGTTAACTTCATTGTCTGAACGGTGCCGTAACCAATCTTCATAGCCTTGCTTTAAAGCTGTTACAGCAATGACAAACACAAGGGGCAGAACACTGGTTAGTGGTTCCACAGGACTTTCAATTGTCAACTGTAAGAAAAGAAAACTCTCATCCCAAGTCTTTAAACTAAGACTATCATCTTCCTATTGTTGGACAAGAAGTCTAATAATTCCAACTATAAACCTTTCCACTGTCTTCAGTGAAGCAAATTCATATCACCACTACCTGTACCCTAATAATATCTTCCCCTCCACTAGTTAGTCCTCATTCACAAAACCCCTGCACAAACTGTATCTGTTCCCCTCCACATGCATTTATTACATGCAGCTTACTTAGCATGCTTGATAAAATTATCCCAACTATACACAGGCAAAGAAAAAGTCCGAGTGCAGGAAGCATGTTCCTGTTCCATTCTGAAACACACTGTCCCTGCCCTCATTTGCTTCTCAGCAGTCCATCTCTTTCATAGACCTAAATATTCTCTATAGCACTTTCTAATTTGACAATTTCAATTTATATTTTAATAATGATAAAATTATAGTTTCACCAGTGTAACACCCTCTGAAAATTCAGCAGAAAGTCTCACCATTTGTAATATATGCTTCCACGTTATTACATTCCCCTGCTTTCTCCCATATTTCATTTCAAGCGCTAAGACCAAAGTTTAATGCCACCTTCCAGATTAACGTGCATAAAATGTATAATTTATAGAATATACCACACTTCAAATAGCCACATAAGATAATTTGAAACTAAATATTGCTCACTCTTTTGTCACCTGCTACATAACTTAGAGTCATGCAACACGCTAAAACTCAACAATTCATAGCTATGGTAACCCAAAATTATGTAATGACAACAATAAATATCAGGCTTACAAACCCTTATAAATATACACAGAAGGATATATTTTAATTTATGACTCTATGCATATACACTGCTTACTTCCATACAAAATCCAGCAAATATTTTCCTTAAAAATTGCCTAATTCCAGATGCAGAAGTAAACAGACTCATAGTTTACAGCATATGATGGCTATTTTTGTCTTTTACATTACAACACAAGTCAAGGAGAATATGTATATGAAGAAAGTATCTATTATTTCAACTGTGTTAAAACGTATGCAATGACAGAACTGCCATACACATTAAGCTTAATTTATGTGTCTCATTATTTCTGTATATACAGTTTATGAGGAGTCTACATGGATTACTGAAAATCGGTCACTTAAATGTACTATAGTCAATGAACAAACATTTCTGTGATTCAGTCAGGTTTCTTGGCAATTTACTGCACACTAAATCTATCAAGAACATATGCCACTAGCACTTATAGAATAAAATCACTCTACTTACTGCAACAACTGTCATGCATAAGAAGTAGAAATTTGCTACTCTTCTAAACTGTTCAAAGAAATTTTTTGGCAAGAAGCTCCAAACTGTGTACTGAAACATCAGAACATAAAAGTTTCTTGTTACTTATTTATCATCCTTCACCCTGAAGTAAGAACACAGATTCAGAGCATCTGAGAACACAATATAAAGGAGAATATTTGGACACCTAAGAGACAGAAAGTAACAGAAAACGGGATAAAACTGCATGAAGAGGAGCTTCATAATTGATAATCTTCACCAATTTTTTTATGGTATTGAAATCAAAGAGAATGAGATGATCAGCATGCAGTAGCATGCATGGGAAAATAAGATATAGATACAAAATTACAGTCAGAAAAACTGAAGAAAATAAACCACTTGGGAAACAATGGCATAGATGGGATAGATAATATTAAAATGGATCTTACAAACTTGGTTGTGACAATGTGAACTCGATTATCTGGTTAAAGATAGGTTCTAGTGGCAGCCTCCTGCAATAATGAACCTCCAGATATCATACAAGGTCAAGAATTTCATGACTAGCTGATCAACTATTAGGTTCTCAAGAACGATCTTGGTCTATGGAGTGAGCGAATTAGTTAGGTGTCATCAACAATAATGTACATGGTCTTTAAATATTTTTTCCTAATAAAAATAGCAAATTAATAAAATTAAATTCTAATTTCTTATAATTTTAAAATCTCTATTACACATGCTGTGAAAAGAGAAAAATCCTGCAGAGGGCTATAGATTTAACCTTAGGACAGCGATAATAAATAAATTTTCCTTTGCATGCTTTATTTTTCTGTGCTAACAATTGTTTTACCATTAATTCTGTTACTGCAACTGAGGTGTGCAATGGGTCTAACTAGCTGGTGCATAACCATCTTTACCTCAGTCAGGGCTCTCTCGTTACCATTTTAGAGTAACAAATCTGAATTTTAACTTAGGAAATATATGAGAAATAGGATATATCTGCATGGATAAGAATTATTTCGGACATGAATAAAAGGGAAAACTCAACAGTTGATGACTCCAGCTGACAACTGTATAATTATAAACAGGTTTTTATTCTGTGGAGATGTATATTCCCGACAGCAATTATAAATACACTGTATGTAATGCTATGCTATGCTATGCTATGCTATGCTATGATTACCTCCAATACCAGAATACTCGTACTGATTAAATCAGAGAGTTGTTAAAATTGTTTCATGACAAAATATTTAGGTAAACTTAAATAAGATTCCAAAACAATTAAAACATTTATTCACATAGGAGTATGTTTCATCATTCACAGGCTGAACATAATTTCATAATTACAAACAGCATATATAATCAAAATTTTCAAAAAACCTATACAGTTAAAAATATGTGAATAGAGCAAGATACCTTCGATGTGACAATCCTGTTATTTTGAAACTGAGTAGTAGAACTTGGTCCATAATCACCACCAACCCACAATATTCTGGTGTTTCCTACTGTTGATACTCGATTTCCCTGCAGGTACAAAACACAGTACTCATGATAATTAAACCAATCATACATGTTGGCATGAGAAGAATGATGAATCAGATTCCTGTTTCATGGCTTTAAAGACAGGATGCACCAAAGCACTCCCTTTTCTTGCTTCATTTCCAGAGAAAGGCTACACAGCCAAAAATAAACATTAAACTGTAAAATGTGTCTTCCCATCCTATTCAAACCAACCAATTTGAATGTGGAGGAATATATCTTCGATTCAAATTTGTGAAACTGAGGAGATGCGCTTTTCTGCCGAGAAACTATGCTTAAGCACTCTGTGAATTTCTGTGATTTGAGTTCACGCATGCAGGGGTGCCATTCTGGATGCAAATTCTAAACCTTACACTTTGTAATCATTTCAGCTTTGAAGACAATCAAATCTGTAAATGAATTCAGAGATATCGCTATTGGGCAATTTAAGCAATTAAATACAAACAGTCTTTCGGAAATGCTGAAACTGTTTGAATTTACGTCTTCCTAACGTATAATAAAAAGTGCGAACTACTGTATTGCAGCAATACAAGTGTATTAATAAATATCCAGCTGACGTGATCCTTTGCCTTCTAATTGAGTGCATGGGTGGGGCGTGAGCAAGTACCTCCTGGTCATCCGGTTTATAGCCTGCGCGTGGCTACGATGCGGCACGACAAGGAGCCGGAACGCGTGCAAGAGGCTTCACGGAGACACGTGCACGCTTTCAGCCATCCATTTTACAGCTAATAAAAACAATGCGACCTTTCTTCGGTGATTATTACAGATCGATGGTCGGATTACAATTGAAACGGAAAGATTTAATTTGGGTTTTTAAATGAGATGTGTAAATAAATTAATCAAGCAAAAGCGGCACAAGTGCTGCTAGCAAACGTAAAATTGTGCGCGGACAAGGCAGAAACATTACTTTCAATATGTTCAAGAGGTTGATATCAGATGCAGAACGTGTGAAATTAAACTTCTGGATTGACCGCCTCTATGGTCTAGTGGTCAGAGTTCCTTGATACAGATCCAGAGGTCCCGAGTTCGATTCGCAGCGCTATCATATTTTCTGAGAAATAGTGGGTCTGGAACGGGGTCCACTCAGACTCGTGAGGATAACTGAGGATCTACTTGAATGCAAAGGTAGGGGCTCCGGTCTACAAAACCGAAATTAACGGCCGTAGGGATTCGTTGCGCTGACAACGCGACACCCTCTATCCGCTAAAGTTAGCACTAACTTCGCCGACAAACGGCGGTCACTCGGTGGGTATAGTTCGCTTGCGACCAAAAGCCACGGAGTTTTTTTTCTTGTTTAAGATTCTGGATTTCGCACGTAAGACATGCGGTGTTAGTGTATACAAGGTGTCGCGTATTTGCAGTCCGACTAAGATACCACTGTACCATATAGGCATGCCGTTATTCAGGTCTCCTGGGAAGCATCATATAGTGCCAAAACGTGCCACAAATGTAGATGATTTAGAAAGAGACGTATTACGCAGGACTGTATTTGAATTTTATGGCGTGAGACAGCTTCAAATTGCAAAGAATCTCACGCAATGAGAAACATAATGAACTATAGCAGGCCTGTCTCGTGGATGTATCAGTGTAAAATGTTGGTTTGAAGTGCAGAAAAGCCCATGATTGTCGAAAAGTCCTGCTGGAGACGGGTACCGCCGTTTCTGATTGAGTGAAATTCTTAAGAGCCGTGTAAAATCATTAATGTTTTGAGACAAGCTTCCACTTTTCTACTTGGATCAAACATGAATAAATCAGAATCATCCGAGAAAGAATATATGGCAGGATTCGGCAGGAAACGGGGGCCTCGAGATTCCCAAAAGGAAGAGAAGAAGACTTATAACGTGGCACGCAGGATCAGCTAAACTGGACTTATTCCGCAGAGTAGACGGGGGTTTCGTTTAGGTCCACGGTCGTGTGATTGATTTGTGAATACGTTCCTAAGCTATCTACAGGAGAGATAAATTATAATCACGGATAACGCTATCAACATTCTGTTGTGATGGACAAGTTCCCTAACAAAAGTATACGCAGAGACAAAATCAAAAACTGATTACAAAAGAATGGAATGTAAGTCGCCTAGAAAGTATCTCAGGGTTATTTAATCGGAATGATCTGATAAATGTCGAGAAAAACTATAAGAAATGGACCAGACAACGATCCAGGTAGATCATATGGTAATTCTTGTATCTCATCATTGCCAATATAATCCAGCCGAAATTATATGATTGTGATTTCGGTAATGTTGAGGTGAGTGGAACAAGCGACGAAGATGATCCCCTAGCTGGGCCCTTCCAGTTTGGCGGTAGGCAGTGCCCGCAGTTTCTTAACATAAATACAAATAAGTTTATTGTTGAAAGTGAAAAATATGAGTATGTGACAGAATATTATATTTAAGCATCCTGTTACACTCACACAATATATATGAGACAAACTCCGTCTTAAGTGCAAAAATTTAATTGTAGTTCTTCCTTCTTTCCTTCCTCCACACTACATGTTTCGGCCCTAAATGGCCATCATCAGGTGTAGATTCTTACGTAGCTGCTACACTGCCCGTAGTTTAAAATTTAAAACAATTGTATGTATGCATAAAATCTTTGTTAACCTACACACGTCAATTTGATTTCCAAAATCGGCACTTTTTAAAACTTCAATTTCAAATTAAAATGTCTTTAAATTGTCCGTATTAAAGATAGACAGCGACACACACAGAGAGAGCCTACACAGAACAATACCTGAACAGCGATAAAACAAGAAGTGACCGCTGCAGCACTATAGACATAGGGCGAGTACCACGAGAAATTTTAATTTTTAAAATTTGGAAAAGAACGGAAAATTTAAAGACATTTTAATTTGAAATTGAAATTTTAAAAAGTGCTAATTTTGGAAATCAAATTGACGTGTGTAGGTTAACAAAGATTTTATGCCTACATACAATTGAAAAGACTGGTGTTTTAAATTTTAAACTACGGGCAGTGTAGCAGCTACGTAAGAATCTACACCTGATGATGGCCATTTAGGGCCGAAACATATAGTGTGGAGGAAGGAAAGAAGGAAGAACTACAATTGAATTGTTGCACTTAAGGCGGAGTTTGTTTCATATATGAGTATGTAACTTTTCATTCTCATAACAGCATCAGCATTTACTGTGGATGGTTGGATTTAAGTGGACAGGCCTCTCCTGTGACGCTGTTGTCGCATGGAGCACATGGCAGAACCACTCTTCACGTTCATTGGATTGTCTCGTACGCCTTGTCTCATGTGCCGTTAGCTTTTGCTTCTGGTTGTACATCATGAAGGCATGTAGGGACGTAGTAATAAAATTTCATCGCCTGCTGAACCTTAGATAAAGGTAAATTTGTCTCTGTCCATGTAATTAAGCACCGCGCCATGAAGACGTGCGTAGGAATGGCGGCATAGCTCCACACATTCTTAATCTCGGCACTAGATGGAGGTGAGTGGTTCGCTCAACATCCCAACCACTTTATCCCAAGGCAAGGAGTACCCGGTATCCACTCGTGTGGGCCTCAGAGCTGGTCTGGATGCAGTAGTGTAAAAAGAAATTCTTACCCCTGCCCGGAATCAAACACCGGTTGTCCAGCCCATAGCTAGTCATTTTACTGAGCTATGCAAGCTCCCTTCTAAACCTTGGAACTTACTGGAAGTGAGTGCTGACAATCGTGCACCCAAAAATACAGTTCCCTGTAGCTACTGAATAGAAGACTAGGTGATATAACCGTGTAACCTTTCTAGATATGACTTTCTTCACGTAAGTTGGTGGTATGAGGGACTGGTTTTACTTGTAGAAGACTTCTGATTTCAAGATTAACTATTGTAGGAATTAATAACAAGGGGACGTGCCTGGGTGCCAGCAGGATTCTGAAGTGTTCAATGCCTGCAGAGAGTTAAGTCGGATTCTACCTTCACAGGTGGGTGTGATGAGTTAGCTCAGGCAATCCCACCTCATGACTCGTAGTACGCGGGTTCAAATACCCGGCGGAGGTCGTCGAATTTTTAAGGGCGGAAAAATTCATGGAACAAGTCCTCCGGGAGCGACTTTAAGCCGTGGGTCCCGTGTCGTAGCTTTACAGCACTTAAAAGAACCGCATACCTCCAAAGGAGGTCACTGAGCAAAATTGCGGACGTTTCCCGCCCAACAGCAGTCTCTAATACCTCTGGTAGAGGGGGCAAGCATTATAGATACCTCTCAGCTAGTAGAGCCGGTCTCGCTGGCTGGGCGGGACTGATGGTAAGCACCAGTACCGGTAGGATATAGAGACTGGTAGAAATCATAGAGGGAAGCACAATGGACCAATACAGGTCTAAGTGCATGGGGAAATCCACCCTCTCCAAATAGCTAACTAACTAGCTCAGGCAAGGCAGGAACATGACTCTGTCCCAGGCGTGTTAACCCTACACACATTACGATTTTTTCCGTAAGTAGCGCATTTTTCCTTCCGCCACCGACGAACCTGCTGGGAAGTTGAATCGTGCAATGGATAATTACAGGAGAGTCTAATTTCCCTATAGTTAATATATCGTTGCAGGAAACACCGGAAGCCAAGAATCCAGTGGTGCACCTATTACTTCTGTAGACGGAGCATTAGATACTTTATTTATAGAGATGAGAATTGAAGGTGCAGAATTTTTTAATTATTTTCGAATGTCTATGTCCAATTTCGATGAACTCTTGCAATATTTACGTAATAGCTTAGAGAGTGAGAATACGAAAATATGAAATTGTATTTCATTTGCAGAACTGCTGGCAGTTTGCATCATCAGGTAAGTGTTTGTAAATTTGTTTATACTTTTATTGCTTTATTTTATTTGCTTGTGTGTTTCCTGTTACGTGTACTTGAACTATCCGGGCTATATGCTGTGTCAGTGTTTTCTTGGTATTTTATTACGCTCCGAACAATTATACTCATTAAACAGATGTTTTTTATGAGTACCATTAAAACCTAACAATTAAGTATGATATATTTTAT